CCCCCCCGCAAGCACCCAAGGTGGAGGACGGCCTGCTGAACAGGCAGGTGTCCCTCATGAGAGGAGTAGAACATGAGAAAATGTGAGTTATCTTGGCTCATGCGCTGGGGGTATGTGGGGCTGAGCTTAAGCGCAGTTGGACAGGCAGGTTGGGTGGGTGGAGGGTCCTCCCCAATCCTGATGCCTGGCAGCCTGAATCCCAGCCTCCTGTCTCTGCAGAACAAGAACTACAAGGCAGTTTGCCTGGAATTGGAGCCAGAGCTGATCAGAGTAAGTAGCTTGTTCGAGGCCATACCGGCAGCCAGGCCTGAGACACATGGGGAGGTGACTTGGAGTCAGGGGTCATTCGCTGTTCCTGGTGGCCAAGACTTGTCCCAGATGCTGGTGGATACATTGAGAGAGAGACAAGCTCTCTGTTCGCACAGAACAAAGCAGATACCTAGATAAATAAGGAAAAATTCAGTAGTTTTACCTATGATGCAGGGAATTAAAATAGAGAGATGTGACGGGGGGCTGCTGTGGGTTGAGGGCGTCAGGAAGGCCTTCCTCTGAGCTGAGAGCTGTAGGACAAGGCTGCGGCCCCTGGAGGTCTGAGGACGAGCGCTGTGGGCAGGAAAAGCAGCGTGCACAGAGGCCCTGAGGTGGGAATGAGTATGTCCGTGGAGGGGACAGAAAGCTGAGGCCCAGTGGGCCAGGAAGGGAGTGGAATGAGATGAGCTTAGAGAGGCGAGAAGGATGGAGGAAACTCCTGCACAGGTGAGGCCAGGTTACCTCTGCGCTGACCCAAAGGGAGGAGCAGAAACTCGGGGTCATCCCTCCTGCCTCGCCCTCCCACGCCTGCAGTTTCCAATATTCTGTGTTTCTGTTTCCAACCAACAGACATATGACTACAAAGGAGCTAAACAAGAAGGGCCATTTACCAAACCAGGAGGGACAAAGGAGCTAAAGGTAGGTGTGTGGACCCAGGAGACAGGAAGTTGGATCAGCACAGTGAACAGGTGGGGCCAACAGAAAAACTTCTGCAGCAGGTGAACTGCCGGCATCTACAGTTCTGCTCCAGCCCCTGTGACTCCTTTCCTTCTGGTTCTCTCTATTTTAAAATAATTTCAGACTTACAGAAAATTTTCCAAAAAATGGTACAATGAGTTCTAGTATACCCTTCCCCCAGATTCCCAAATGTTGGCATTTTATCTTGGGTTTTTTTTCTCTCTTTCATATTCACACACCTATATATAGCATACATATTTCCTGAACCATCTGTGAGCAAGTGGTTCTCTCAAATTTCGGTATATATTTCCTCAAAACAAGAACACTCTCTTACACAGCCACAGTACAATTATCCAAACATCAAAAGCCGGAAATTAATGTTGATACAGTTCTCACCTACAGCCCTTATTCTAATTTCACCAGTTATCCCACTAATGTCTTTCATAACAAAAGAGAAGATAACTTTTTTGGTCTGGGATCCAATCCAGAATCACACCTTGCATCTAGTTTCCATGTCTCTTCAGTCTTTTTTCCGTCTGGAACAGTTCTTCGACCTTGTCTTTTGGGACACTGTCATTTTTTATGACAAATCATTTATTTTGTAGAATGACCCTGAATCTGGGTTGTCTGATGCTTCCTCACCATTAGACTTAGGCCATGCATTTTTCGGTGGTCACACCACAGGAGTGAAAGTATGACCTTTTCAAAGTGCATCACATCCGGAGGTACTGGATGTCTGTGTGTCCCACTATCCTATTTTCTTAATAGCATCCTTTCTTTCCTCCCTAATGGCATCTATCTCTCTGCTCCTCTTTTGGCAATGCCCCAGGATCTTTCCTTTCCTCCTTTTGACCGTTTCCCTTCCATCCAAGACAATTCTTTACTCCTTCTCTATTTTATTTTCTCAGAATGAACTCAGGGAGGTGAGGGAAGAGCTCAAGGAAAAAATGGAGGAGATAAAACAGGTAACAGGATGAGATTTTTCAGCTCACGGAGAAAAAGTGTAGCTTCAAGGAAAATGCAATGCCTAACTTTGAATAGTAAAGAAAATCAGAAATTGCATGGAAAAAGCAATCAAACCAACTGAGCCCAAATCCCCTAGAGTGTTTAAGTGTCAGCAGCTTAGGTTATCTGTTTCTTACTTGCTTGATGCTTAAACCCAAATTTTGAATGATAAGGGCTCTCTAAGATATCTCATTGATAAGGGTGGGGAGATACAACCTTAGTGACAGAGTGAGAGGGGCTGACCTGGAATTGGGGGGCAGTCAGGGACCAATTCCATTGTCCTAATACTCCTACCCTGAGCAAGCTGCAGAGCAAGAATCCTCTTCTTGTTTCTCTGATGGAATCACCTATAGCATATTTATGAACAAAGGAAATGCTCAAGCAAGAACGTGTAATTGAAGCTGTGGTCTGAGCTCCACATGGCAGCCTTGCAATGACCAGATCCAAGCTGTGCCAAGGCTGCTGCTGGTGTTGACTTGATGATACACTCACCCTAGTCCCTTCACAGACTCTTGGGAAGAAAGTGGCTTTAGTAGGCCATTATTAGAATATTCCTTAATCTTTATCTAGCTCATTCCAGGGGAGCAGCTGCAGCCCTTAGCTTAAAATGCCTGAAAGACAACTCCACATTCAATAATGTGCTCTTTGTCTTTCTTCCTCACTAGATAAAAGATGTAATGGACCAGGATTTTGGAAAACTCCAGGAATTTGTGGAGATTGTGAAGGTAAGCATTTACTGAGTGCCCTCCATGGGCCAGTACCATACTAGGAATCATGCAAGGAGATGCCAGAGCCTGCCTTGCAAGTGCTTACAGCTTAATAAGAGACCCAAACTCTATTGCAAAAAAGAATTAAATAACAAGTAAGTACCAAGCTAAATGATGACTGGTTGTCAACTAACCAGGGGTTTAGAGAAGTGAGTACTGAATGCGGGTTGGGGTAACCAGAAAAGTCCTTTTAGAGGAAGTGAAGCTTAAGGTGAGTCTTAAGGCAGCATTGGAAGTTTAATGTGAATCTAACCAAGAGCACAGTAAGATTATTTTTGAACTCAATAATTACTAAAAGGATCATCTAGATTCTAGAATAGCAGTTTACAGACTTTGGTGGGTTTCAGAATCACCAGGAGCACAAATATAGGAAACAGAGCTCAGGTCCTGTGTTGATGGGGCTGGCACCCTGGGGTTTTGTTCATGTTCCCCAGGTAGAAGTTTGAGAACAACAAATGCAGAAGCATAAATAGACAAAAGCATTTATTTATAAATTTTTCAAGAGTTGTAAGGGGGCATTACTTCTACCAGATATTAAAATCATAATGAAGCCAACTTAATAATCAAATTAAGGTGGTACAGCCCAAGGATAACCAGACAAATGAAGAAGCCAACATAGATAATCCTGTAACAGCCTCTCTGCCAGGGATGCACTGAGAATCACTTCTGAGGATTTCTAAAGTCCATTTACCCAGGCCCTGGCCCAGATGAACAGAATAAAAACCTCCAAGTTTGGGCACAGTTGCTCAAAACTCTTAAGTGATTCAGATGCTTGCTCCTGATGAGAACCATGTCCTTAGCACTTTAGCAGTAGTTATTAACATTGGCTACATGCTGAAATCACCTGTACTGTGGTTTTGAAAAGCTCCTCTTTACACCTGGCTGCACCCCATAGCAGTTATATCAGAACATCTTAATATGAGGTCCGTGGACTTCCCTGGAGGCACAGTGGTTAAGAATCCACCTGCCAGTGCAGGGAACACGGGTTTGATCCCTGGTCCGGGATGATCCCACATGGCGCGGAGTAACTAAGCCCGTGTGCCACAACTACTGAGCCTGCGCTCTAGAGCCCTCAAGCCACAACTACTGAGCCCATGCACTGCAGCTACTGAAGTCCGTGCGCCTAGAGCCCATGCTCCACAACAAGAGAAGCCACCGCAATGAGAAGCTCGCGCACCTCAACGAAGAGCAGCCCCAGCTCGCCGCCACTAGAGAAAGCCCACACGCAGTAACAAAGACCCAATGCAGCCAAAAATAAATTAAAAAAAAAAAAAAAAGAATGGAGGCAAAAATCGAGAAGATGCAAGAAATGTTTAACAAAGACCTAGAAGAATTAAAGAACAAACAAACAGAGATGAACAATACAATAACTGAAATGAAAAATACACTAGAAGGAATCAATAGCAAAATAACTGAGGCAGAAGAACAGATAAGTGACCTGGAAGACAGAATGGTGGAATTCACTGCTGCGGAACGGAATAAAGAAAAAAGAATGAAAAGAAATGAAGACAGACTAAGAGACCTCTGAGACAATATTAAATGCAACAGCATTAGCATTATAGGGGTCCCAGAAGGAGAAGAGAGAGAGAAAGGACCAGAGAAAACATTTGAAGAGATTATAGTCGAAAACTTCCCTAACATGGGTAAGGAAATAGCCACCCAAGTCCAGGAATCACAGAGAGTCCCATACAGGATAAAGCCAAGGAGAAACACGCCGAAACACATAGTAATCAAACTGGTAAAAATTAAAGACAAAGAAAAATTATTGAAAGCAGCAAGGGAAAAATGACAAATAATATACAAGGGAACTCCCATAAGGTTAACAGCTGATTTCCCAGGAGAAACTCTACGAGCCAGAAGAGAGTGGCATGATACATTTAAAGTGATGGAAAGGAAGAACCTACAACCAAGATTACTCTGTCTGGCAAGGATCTCATTCAGATTTGATGGAGAAATCAAAAGTTTTACAGACAAGCAAAAGCTAAGAGAATTCAGCACCACCAAACCAGCTTTACAACAAATGCTAAAGGAACTTCTCTAAGTGGGAAACACAAGAGAAGAAAAGGACCTGCCAAAACAAACCTATAACAATTAAGAAAATGGTCATAGAAACATATGTATTGATAACTACCTTAAATGTGAATGGATTAAATGCCCCAACCAAAAGACACAGGCTCACTGAATGAATACAAAACCAAGACCCATATATATGCTGTCTACAAGAGACCCACTTCAGACCTAGGGACACATACAGACTGAAAGTGAGGGGATGGAAAAAGATATTCCATGCAAATGGAAATCAAAAGAAAGCTGGAGTAGCAATACTCATATAAGATAAAATAGACTTTAAAATAAAGAATGTTACAAGAGACAAGGAAGGACACTACATAATCATCAAGGGATCAATCCAAGAAGAAGATATAACAATTATAAATATATATGCACCCAACATAGGAGCACCTCAATACATAAGGCAACAGCTAACAGCTGTAAAGGAGGAAATCGACAGTAACAGAATAATAGTGGGGGACTTTATCACCTCACTTACACCAATGGACAGATTATCCAAAATGAAAATAAATAAGGAAACATAAGGTTTAAATGACACAACAGACCAGGTAGATTTAGTTGATATTTATAGGGCATTCCATCCAAAAACAGCAGATTACACTTCCTTCTCAAGTGCGCACAGAATATTCTCCAGGATAGATCACATCCTGGGTCACAAATCAAGCCTCAGTAAATTTCAGAAAATTGAAATCATATCAAGCATCTTTTCTGACCACAATGCTATGAGATTAGAAATCAATTACAGGGGAAAAAAAGGTAAAAAACACAAACACATGGAGGCTAAACAATATGTAACTAAATAACCAAGAGGTCACTGAAGAAATAAAAGAGGAAATTAAAAAATACCTAGACAAATGACAACAAAAACGTGACGATCCAAAACGTATGAGATGCAGCAAAAGCAGTTCTAAGAGGGAAGTTTATAGCAATACAAGCCTACCTCAAGAAACAAGAAAAATCTCAAATAAACAATCTAACCTTATACCTAAATGAACTAGAGAAAGAAGAACAAACAATACCCAAAATTAGCAGAAGGAAAGAAATAATAAAGATCAGAGCAGAAATAAATGAAATAGAAACAAAGAAAACAATAGCAAAGATCAATAAAACTAAAAGCTGGTTCTTTGAGAAGATAAACAAAACTGATAAACCATTAGCCAGACTCATGAAGAAAAAGAGGGAGAGGACTCAAATCAATAAAATTATAAATGAAAATGAAGAAGTTACAACAGACACCACAGAAATACAAAGCATCCTAAGAAACTACTACAAGCAACTCTATGCCAATAAAATGGACAACCTGGAAGAAATGGACAGATTCTTAGAAAGGTATAACCTTCAAAGACTGAGCCAGGAAGTAATAGAAAATATGAACAGACCACTCACAAGTAATGAAATTGAAACTGGGACTAAAAATCTTCCAACAAACAAAAGTCCAGGACCAGATGGCTTCACAGGTGAATTCTATCAAACATTTAGAGACGAGCTAACACCCATCCTTCTCAAACTCTTCCAAAAAATTGGAGAGGAAGGAACACTCCCAAACTCATTCTATGAGGCCACCGTCACCCTGATACCAAAACCAGAGAAAGATACTACAAAAAGAGAAAATTACAGACCAATATCACTGATGAATATAGATGCAAAAATCCTCAACAAAACACTAGCAAACAGAATCCAACAACACATTAAAAGGATCATACACCATGATCAAGTGGAATTTATCCCAGGGATGCAAGGATTCTTCAATATATGCAAATCAATCAATGTGATACACCATATTAACAAATTGAAGAATAAAAACCATATGATCATCTCAATAGATGCAGAAAATAGATGCACAAAATTCAACACCCGTTTATTTTAAAACCACTCCAGAAGGTAACCTACCTCAATATAATAAAGGCCATGTATGACAAACCCACAGCAAACATATTCTCAATGGTGAGAAACTGAAAGCATTTCCTCTAAGAACAGGAACAAGACAAGGATGTCCTCTCTCTCCACTATTATTCAACATACTTTTGGAAGTCCTAGCCATGGCAATCAGAGAAGAAAAAGAAATAAACGGTATACAAATTGGAAAAGAAGAAGCAAAACTGTCACTGTTTGCAGATGACATGATACTATACATAGAGAATCCTAAAGATGCCACCAGAAAACTACTAGAGCTAATCAATGAATTTGGTAAAGTTTCAGGATACAAAATTAATGCACAGAAATCGCTTGCATTCCTATACACTAATGATGAAAAATCTGAAAGAGAAATTAAGGAAACACTCCTATTTACCATTGCAACAAAAAGAATAACATACCTAGGAATAAACCTACCTAAGGAGACAAAAGACCTGTATGCAGAAAACTATAAGACACTGATGAAAGAAATTAAAGATGATACCAACAGATGGAGAGATATACCATGTTCTTAGGTTGGAAGAATCAATATTGTGAAAATAACTATACTACCCAAAGCAATCTAGAGATTCAATACAATCCCTATCAAATTACCAATGGATTTTTTACAGAACTAGAAGAAGAAATCTTAAAATTTGTATGGAGACACAAAACACCCCAAATAGCCAATGCAGTCTTGAGGTAAAAAAATGGAGCTGGAGGAGTCAGACTCCCTGACTTCCGACTATACTACAAAGATACAGTAATCAAGACCATATGGTACTGGCACAAAAACAGAAACATAGATCAATGGAGCAGGATAGAAAGCCCAGAGATAAACCCACACACCTATGGTCAACTAATCTATGACAAAGTAGGCAAGGATACACAATGGAGAAAACACCGTCTCTTCAATAAGTGGTGCTGGGAAAACTGGACAGCTACATGTAAAGGAATGAAATTAGAACACTCCCTCACACCATGCACAAAAATAA